TTTCAAATTGTATGCATAACTATGAATTATAAACCCATTTTCCTTAAATTTTTGTTTATCAGTGACATGCTTAGGAGGAAAGTGAGTGGAACGGATAAGTTTACAGGTTTGTCAAACGACGAAAAAATAAGGCTTTCCTGTTCTTTCGGCTAATGACAAATTGAATGCTCTCGCCAATTCCAAAATTTTTAAAGCATTTACGTAAAGCTATGCATACAGCTAAATTCAGGTGTAACACAAGTTGGCTTGACTTTCGTTTTGAAAAAAAACATTCAAAAGTGGCTGTTAGATGGCAGGAAAATCAGGTCCGAATTGCGATGGACCACAAAAGTTGCAATTAAGCGTTGAGAAAACGCATGAGTCTGATGTGGAAATATAGACAAATGAAATTCCCTCTCTTATAAATCAGAGGTCGATTGACCGAAAATGTCTAGAATTCTGGCGCAACTAATACCCTTTTTCAGAATTGGGACCGAATTTGCATACAGAATACGATATTTCTCTTTTATTTTGTTCGATTAAACGAACTTTGAATCCTCCCCTAGTGACCACCTGACAAAGATTCAGCAAAAAAGTGATCATAGTGAATTGTTCTTAGGGAGCCGGCTTCACTGGCTATTGAGTTTTGCTAGAACCCTTCCGAAGTTTCTCATGAAACTTCCGCAATTTGTCAAGATATTAAACAAGTATTAGTTTAATCACAGCCGGATTGAATTCTGGTGAATATGGCTTACCTGAATTCTTCTCAGAAGGAATGCACATGCTCTCCTGCTGCTTGGGGAACTGGTCACACTGCACGATGGTGGGCCAATCAAAGCCGTACATGTGCATTCGTGGCAAGCAGGCGTGCCTAACATCCTCACAGAGCTCCTGACAAGGTGGAATTTTCGACTCTTGGTGGCTCTTTAGACAGACCGGTGCGTACAGCGAGCATAGGAAACGCTGTATGTGGGGATGGCATTTTGTGTTAACCAGAACGACCCAGACGTTGGCCTGTTGGATTGCCTCTCTGAGACTTTCGTGCATCAGAAAGTTGGGAAGTACCATCTGCGAGTACCCTACACTTTTGCATAATGTCATGTTAGGCGGTATCTCGTGGCAATTCCAATAGGCATAGGAATCCTGGCCACCGACCAAAGGCATGAGATTATCGGAAGTTGCAAGATGTCCCACGCCTGAGGGTTGCCTTGTCTCGCTCCCGAACTGGGATGTGCTGCTGGGGAGGGAGACAATCAACAAGAAGGCGAATTCTATAAACACACCAAGCCAGGCGGGTATCATTTCGACTCTTTCAATCGAATGTTTCTGTTCGAACTTGTGTTATTGTCGTCATGTAGGCGTAGGGGGGGTTGGATAGAGCCAATGCCGGCC